GATTAGGATGGGGAACCAGCAGTTAGCATAATGGCTATGTCACTGGACTCCCACGTAGTCGGCCGCGGTTCGCGTCCCAGACCCGGTGGCTTAAATCTCACGCCAGGCGAGTGTGCGTGTATGCCCAAGATCCCGCGAGGAGAATGGAGGAGAAGGGATTGTGGCATGACCATCCCCCCTGGGGGGTGATTTCTCACTTTCTGTCTCTCTGTCTCTCTCTGTGCTCGCCCTATAGCAAAAACTTCTAAAACAAACAAACAAACAAACAAAAAATTAGGCTGGGAAATATTGGACTCTAAGTAGTGATTGACTCTGGGAAGGGGAAGAAAGAAATGAGATTAAGGGTGGTTGTCAAATGTGGCTTCAACTTTATATATAAGGTTCCATTAAAAGTATGGAAACAGGGCCAGCAGGTGGTGTGGTAGTTAAGATAGCTAGATGTCACATGGTTGACTGTACCATTCAAGTCCTGGACCTGGTGGCTTGAAAAACAAGCCAGGTGTGTGTGTGCCTAAAATCCTGAGAGAAGAACAGAGTGGAAGGGATTGTGGTATGGCCATCCCCTTGGGGGTGACTCCCCCACCCCCCACCCCTCTCTCTCTGGAGAGCGCACACACCCTATATAAAAATTTTTAAAAAATGGAATAAATAAGCTAAATTGTTGGTGGTAATTGTAAGAGATGGGAATATGGTAACTCTCTCTTCTTGCATGTGTCAGTATTTTGAACATGCCTGCAAGTCCAATTTTAAAAGTAAAGAACACAAAGTTGCTTGCAACCAGGCTCTGCTAGACAGAACTGGCCTGCAGCTGTGGCCACAGTTCAGAGATGACACAATGATTTTGTGAAGAACTATGTCTCAGGGCTCGTCTGGGTACATCTTGATGAATCCTGCCCATTTCATTGCCACCTGATCCTTCTGAGATGTTTACAGGTATATTTCTTTGAAGTCTTAGTTATTCTCCACCACTCTTTTCCTCTAAGCCACTAAACATTGTTTTATGTTTTAGCTATAGCAGCTGAGAAGAAACCTTACTGTAAATGTCTCCGGTAGGAAATGTGTTATGCAGCCTCTCCCCCATACTGTGACAGCAGAAAATGATCAACTCTAACTTTACTTTGCAGAATAGAAAAGAAACGCACCATTGTCCCCACACTGGCTGAAGCCGTTAAGGAGCAAGACGGGAGAGAAGTAGACTGGGAGTACTTCTATGGCCTTCTTTTTACTTTAGAGAATCTGAAATTGGTGCACATTGCATGCCATAAGAAAACCACCCACAAGCTCAGCTGTGACCCGCGCAGAATCTATAAACCCCAGCCAAGAATGAAGAGGAAACGGCCTGCTCGGAAATGCCAGTGACTGGCACACACTATGTTCTGCCCTTGTGTGAGGCCCCACAGTGTGTGCAACGTTCTTAACGGGTGCTTTTTTTTTTTTTTTTTTTGTCGCTCTAGTACTTTCTGGAGAAAAGTTAGAAAAACCTTTCCTACAAATCTGATTTCAGTACATTCCTGAATCTGGTTTCTATACCTATTGATAGTCCAATTTCATAGGGCAGCTTTGGGGTTTTTGCCAGACACCTGTGAGCTCCAGGTCATACTCTTGGCAGGGACATGGAATTGTCTGTGAGCTCAGGAATTCTTCCATTCTCTGACTTCACTAGGATTCCGTGTACTTCTATAGGGTGGTATCTGTGCTAAAACAGCATCATGGCTAAACCTGGCCCCTCTTGCTTCAGGGACCACTGTTGAGCATCAGCTCTCTGATGGATTTCCATTTCCACAGCAAATGGGACTGCTCCAATCTCTGAACTCTTCTAAGTGCTCAAGCGAGAAGTGTGATGCTCTGGGTGTAAAATGTTTGTATGACACGAATAGCACACAAGGATAGTCACTGCTGAGTTGTTTATTATGGCCCAAAGTGGGAAACTCTTCAAATATCTTTCAGTAGCAGAATAGCTGATTTTACGGAATAGCTGATTGTGGCATTATGTTGAACCACACTAAATTGCTGTTTTTGTAGGTCAAACACTGTCAGATATAATTAATTGCATGATTCAATCTAATACATCTACATAATGTAAAACTATGTAGCCATTTTAAGTGTTAATATGTGTTTGTGTGTAAAAATGGGAAGCTGTTAAATGCACAGGTGGCCTAATGATGCTGAATTTGATCTATCTATTTAATAAAAGGCTAGCGTGCTCATCACCATGAATGTCAGCCTGCTGAGTCTGGAAGGAAGGAACCATACCAAATAAAATGGCAGTAATCCTGGGGCATTCTATGTGGGGAGGTGGGGCTGGATTGGAAAAGGACTAATTTTCTAAATCATGTATACTTGAAGTTTTTGAAATGAGTATTTATTTCATAACATTTTAAAATGTACTTTCAAAAGCCATACGTTTTATAATTACTCGAATTTTTACATTTACCATGTAATAAGAAATAGCAATAAAGATGTTCCAAAGCCATATGTCAAAAGTTTCTATTCCTTGAAAATTATGAAAATAAGGGTAAACGAGGCCAATATTTTAAAAATTGACCAAGGTTGTTCTGTTTTTTTTTTTTTTTTTCTCTCATTGAAATTGCAAGCCCTTAGAATGAGCCAGTCTCTGTGAAACTTTAAGCAGTCCCATTGACAGTGCATTCATTGGTTTCGTGTTACAAGGGAAGTATGAATGGTGGGAGAGTCAGGGCTCAGGAGCCAGGATGCTTGGATCCTCTTCCTAGATTCTCCTTGAACCAGCCAGAGAATGTTCTGCATATCTAAGGCTGTGCCATAAAGTGGCTGGACCAGACAGCCCCCAGCCAATTTTTAAAAAATTGACCAAGGTTGTTTTTTTTTTTTTTTTTTTTTCTCTCATTGAAATTGCAAGCCCTTAGAATGAGCCAGTCTCTGTGAAACTTTAAGCAGTCCCATTGACAGTGCATTCATTGGTTTCGTGTTACAAGGGAAGTATGAATGGTGGGAGAGTCAGGGCTCAGGAGCCAGGATGCTTGGATCCTCTTCCTAGATTCTCCTTGAACCAGCCAGAGAATGTTCTGCATATCTAAGGCTGTGCCATAAAGTGGCTGGACCAGACAGCCCCCAGGGTCTTTTCAGCTCTATCATTTCGAGTTTAAAGAACGAGCAGATCCATTTCAGTAACAGAAGTGCTCTTTTACAGTCTCTTTTAATTGTAAGCTTTTTTGATAGCATTCCTTCTCAAACACAGTTCAAGGGGAATGGTGATGGCCCAGGCTTGGCAGCGCAGCCTGTGGCACAGTGGGCTGTGGTGTTGGAGGCCACATGACAGCAGATTCCGATTCTCAGATTGATCTGAAACACACTAGGCCAGGAGCTCAGGATCCTGAAGAGCTAGAGGCTGGGGAGGGGGATTGTGTGACAAGACCATGCTGAGGGTATTTCTGCCTCTTAATTGCATGCACATACTTTCTATAATTAAAAAAATTTTAAAAAAAGCAATGGCGCCACTGTGTCCTTAGACACATGGAGCTACTGTCCCTCCCCTCGATGGTTCTCTGGTACCATACCTATTGCCCATTATCAGGCTTTTTGAGACATTACATCTATTAGGACTTTTGTGGCCTCCTCTACTGTTATAACTTGTCTTGCGTTCCTCCTTACCATCCCTAATCTGAGGGCCTGTCTCTGCAGTAAGTGGAACACCAGAAATCCAACTTTGTTCGAGCTATGCATAAACAGTAAACTTTATTTTTCCCCCATTTCTTTATTTTTACATTTTTCCACAAACATTTCCTTTACATACCACAAAATTTTTGCTCATACTCCATAGTTCTTGACAGTTAATAAACAACTATCAAATTTCAGAATACTGAATTTTAATGTTCAAGGTATTTATAATTTTGTGTAATTCTGTTTGTGACTCTATAACAACAGAAAAGTATCGTTTTAAATATTTTTGAGAAAATATTTACATGTCAGTTACTCAAAGTGTTGAAAAGCAAATGCCCAGCACACTAGTCACACATAAACCTTCTCAATTCAGCCCTGCCTACTAAGTATTCTGTGATATACCATCTGCTAAGAAAAATCAGTCTCTTTTTCTTTCTTCAAAGTCTTTCTCAGGATAATCCTCTGGTGTGGTTGCTCTTTTCCAATCTCTACTGATTACAATGCTGGGCTGGAAAAGTCCAGGTTATTTTATGTTATAAATTTTTTTTCATATATCTTCTCTAGTCCTCTGCCAGTCAGAACTAATTATGGTGCCAGGCCATCTTTGTAAGAGCTTCTGTTGGCTTATTTAAGATCTACCTTAGTTCCATAGTTTTCTGATTAATCTTCAGGTATGACATTCCAGTCAATGGCATTATGGCATTATGTGGCATTATGTTGAACCACACTAAATTGCTGTTTTTGTAGGTCGAACACTGTCAGATATAATTAATTGCATGATTCAATCTAATACATCTACATAATGTAAAACTATGTAGCCATTTTAAGTGTTAATATTTCCAATATCTGATTCAATGAAACAAGTATTATTGAATTTATGCAAATAACCTTTCTGCCACAAAATAAGAATAATCCTAAATGTTTCCAATTCAAGAGGGATCAGGAAGGAAGAAGTTTGTTTCCATTTAAAGAAACAAACAAGTAAAATATTTTAACAAGTTGCTGAACCCATCAACAGAAAGTTAAAATGTTTAAATTGGGAAAACAAAGCATAGTAAAAAAAAAGAAATCAGTAATGCTTTACTCAAGAGTCATAAAATTCTATTAACAGCATTTCAGTCTTATGTTCAAATTCTCTTCTGTTGAACATGCAGTGTTACTGTGGTCTAATCTTTCCATTTAAATCCTGGAATTTAACACTTAATGTTATTATTGATATTTCCTGTACCTAGCATTGAATTGGTCATTTTCTTGGTTGCCTTTTGTTCTCTTATTTCTGTATGTGTCTTTAGTTTTCCCAGTAGAGCACTCCTTTTAGAATTTCTTGAAGAGTGGGTCTGCTATTCTTTCAGGTCTTGTTTATCTGAGAATGTTTTTATCCTTTCTTTCCATATGAAAGATAATCTTGCCGTTTATAGTATTCTTGGTTGAAACTGTTTTTCACTTAACACTTTGAATGTATTTTCCCATTCTTTCCTTGCTCACATTGTTTCTGATGAGAGGTTTGAGGTTAGCCTGATAGAATAACCTTTGTAAGTAACCTGATGTTTCTCTCTTGCCAATTTTAGTATCTTGTCTTTGTAGATTTGGCTAGTCTAGGTATGATGTTCCTTGGAGAAGATCTTCTTGGATTGATTCTATTAGGGGTCCTTTGTATTTCTTGGGTCTGGATATTTGAATGCCTCTCTATATTTGGAAAGTTTTCTTCCAAGATTTCATGGGATAGATTAACAATGCCCTTATTAGTTTCCTCACCTTCAGGGATACTGATTATCCAGATGTTTGGGTGCTTAATGCTGTCTAGTATTTCTCGTATAATATTCTCATTTTGGGGGGTTATTTTCACAATTTTTTTGATTTTTTTTTTCTAGATCAGAGGTTTTGCCTTCAACATCTGAGATTCGATTTTCTGCATGGACTAATCTGCTTTTAATACTTTTGAGGTTTTGATTTCCTGAATGGCAGCCTTCATCTCTAATAGCTCCATTTGATTCTTTTTTATGGTGTGTTTTTCCTCTTTCATATCATGGAAGAACTTCAACACCTCCTGGAACTCATTGTCTCTTTTCTCCTGCATCTGCTGGAGTTCGGTTCAAACACGCTTCTGTTGAATATGCAGTGTTACTGTGGTCCAATCTTTCCGTTTAAACCCTGGAAGTTAACATTCACCGTTATTGATACTTCTTGTCCCTAGCATTAAATTGGTCGTTTTCTTGGTTGCCTTTTGTTCTCTTATTTCTGCATATTTCTTCAGTTTTCCTGCTAGAGCAGTCCTTTCAGAACTTCTTGAAGAGTGGGTCTGCTATTGGCAAATTCTTTCAGGTCTTGTTTATCGAGAATGCTTTTATTTTTTCTTAGCATATGAAAGATAATCTTGCCGGGTATCGTATTCTTGGTTGAAACTGTTTTTCACTTAACATTTTGGATATATTTTCCCATTCTTTCCTTGCTCGCATTTTTTCTGATGAGAGGTCTGAGTTTAGCCTGATTGGATAACCTTTATAAGTAACTTGACATTTCTCTCTTGCTGATCTTAGTGTCTTGTCTTTGTCTGTGGTTCTGATTATTCTGGCTGTAATGTGTCCTTAGGAAGATCTTCTTG